TTATATAATTCAAAAATATGCAGGATCTTAGATAAATCCATTTCAAGTTTAGAGATGAAATTAGTAGCTGCTAGAGCGGAACGCGAGTCGTTGACTGGAAAATTTAACATTTTGAAAGAAAACCAGAAAAGAAAATACTTCATGGTTATCGGTATTAACACGGCCTTTAGTAGTCGTAAGAGACGTGACTCGGTCCGGTCAACATGGATGCCACAAGGTAAGGAAGTTCCCGGTTTCTTGATTTCTAGTGAAATAAACTGGAAATTGAACTTTCTAACCGGTTCTTAATCAATCTTTCAGGTGAGAAGCTTAAGAAACTTGAGGAAGAGAAAGGCATCATTGTCCGCTTTGTTATAGGACACAGGTACAAAGGAAAATTCATGTTCTGTATTGAAAATCTAAGCATTTATACTAGTATTTTTACTTTGTGAATACCGAGATTTTTATGTTCTTGAAATGTTCTAAAATTGATTCCAGTGTGTTGTCTCGCGGGATTCTTGAGAAAGCCATTGAAGCAGAGGAGAAAACACATGGAGATTTCTTGAGACTGGTAAAACCCCGCGCTATTCGCAAAATTTATTCTCTTGTGTGTTTGGTTATTAAAGCTTTAGAAAGAAAAAAACAGGAACATACCGAGGGATACATGGAGTTATCCGCCAAGACAAAGACGTTTTTCGCTACTGCTGTTTCCTTGTGGGATGCAGAATTCTACATCAAAGTTGACGATGACGTTCATGTGAATCTTGGTATAAAAAAGCAAAATGTTTAATGTCTTTATCTTAAATCATTTCATCCATTTTGTTTGATGTCTTGATCGGTTTTTGTAGCCAGCCTCAAGAACACTTTATCACAGCACCGGAACAAGCCTCGGGTTTATGTTGGTTGCATGAAGTCCGGCCCCGTCCTAGCCAGAAAGTAAGTAAACAAAAAACCTTCAAAAGGCGAGCATTTTAAGTTCTTAAACCGCGTAAAAGCAGCAACCGAAGAAAGAAACTGTTTCCGGACATTTTATATTACTGGTAAAAAAAAAACAGGGATGTGAAGTACCATGAACCGGAGCATTGGAAGTTTGGGGAGGTGGGGAACAAGTATTTCCGCCATGCCACGGGACAGTTTTACGCCATATCTAAAGATCTAGCTACTTACATATTGATAAATCAGTAAGTCTTTTTCTAACTGTGTTCTAGAGGTTTAATGCAACCAAAATTGCTTAGGGAAAAAACATCTAATGATATTCTTTTTGTTGTACATTTTAAGGGACTTACTACATAAGTATGCAAATGAGGATGTTTCTTTGGGATCTTGGTTCATTGGATTGAATGTAGAACATGTAAATGACAAAAGACTCTGTTGCAGTACTTCCCCTGAAGGTAAACTTAACAATTC